TATACTTTTAATGAAATGGATTGATCGACAGGCTGTTGGAAACAATTTGTTTTGAAAGAAACACCTTGAACATACAAATATATTACGTCTGATGAGAAAAGTATAGTCCTATATTGAAGACTAGAAAGCAATTGATAAATTATCCTAGTCAATCAGCTATTACGATATTCTGATACTGGGGTATTACTTAATTGCTTAAAGAGGTTATAAGCAACAACTGATCTTGCGATGTAAGTTTCAGCTTGATATTCGTAATGAAACTAATTCTAAAAATTTTAAAAATTATTTGAAAGTGTATCAAATAGAGGGGGTGGATAACACCAATTGCAAGTGTAGTCTTCGTTGAGGGGAAATTTGAATAATGTCTCACAATATGTTCTACTGTATTTTTCTCAATTGCTTCAAATTCATATATCTCGCTATTTTATCAGCAGTTTGTTATATATGAAATTATCTCTGTTTCTCAATTCTTTTAACTTAAACTTTTATACACCTCGCTAAAATCTGTTAGTGATCCGTTATGTATAAAGTCAATAGTATCTTAGCAGAAATCACCACTTATTAACGTTACTCTTGCCATCAAATAAGTTAACTATGATTTGAAGTCAGAGAGACAATAGCTATGACTTAAATCCAATTAACTTGACACGCTATTTATTTGAGATTTTATTTAGTTAACAAGAATAAAATTATAAGTTTTATGTTTGCAAAATGTTAAGAATGTTTATTATTGTTCTTAAATGTATATTGAATATAATATTAGGATCTGCCCTTTTTCCAGGGCATTCTCATGTCCTTTATATAAGAAAATTATAATTAAAGAAAATCTATGGTATTTATGATACTATTGATAATAATAACAGAGCTAACAGATATGCTAATTATGATAAATATGATATAAATAATAATAATGATAAATATAATAAAGATATAATAAATGATATTTGTGTTCTATTTAGTAGATATGGCATATTCGACAGGTCTGTCAGTTTCTACCAGTTTCACCATGTAGAAATGCAGACAAAATTATTCAAAAATGCTTGTATTATCTCTTACAAACAATATTGATACTTTGCTCATATAACACCTTTATTATCTATAAATTTATCAAAATAGTTCCACACAGCACTTTTATTTTTTTTATTATTTTCGTCTAGTAAGCTTTAAACAGAATTTGATTTTTCTAGAAATCCACTGCTTTCTTTAACTAAGTTGAGTTCTTTATTAGAAGTGTTCTCTTCTAAATCTGAATTAATTTCATAATGAGGATGTTTTGAAAAATTCTTATTAGACATTTTATATACTTGAGAATGAAAGTGTTTAAGATATAAAAAAAAATATGATAAAAAAAAGATTGATGATCAATTAATAATATAGTTAGTAAATTTTATTATAAATTGATCTAGATCTAATAAATCAGATTAAGGATTGACCTGACCTAATGTCAGGTTATCAAATTGTAGATCTGACCTAAAATTTTTAGGTCAACCCATCAGGTTATCTGATCCATCAGGTCAAATTCAGAACTCTATATCTGAGTATGAGTGCAATTAAGTATTGTTAAAGATTCTTTAAATCGATAAATTAAGAATTTGAGTTCTATTATAATAAAGTTCTTTTAAAGTATTTAGTAAAGTAAGTAAGCCAGTAATTTAAGTATTAAAGCAATAAAGAATTGTTAAAGAATTAGGTAAATCTAGTAAGTTAGTTGTTCAAGTATTTTTACAATTAAGAATTGTTAAAGTATCAGGCAAAGCTGGTAAACTAGTTATTTTGAGTATTAGAACAATTATGGGTAACTAAGGAATTAAATAAAGTTAGCAATTTTTTTTTTTCTAATTTATTTTATTTTATTTTTTTTTTATTTTTTTTTAATTTTTTTCATTATCGTTTTTTAATTTATTTTTTTTTTTTTCTTTCTTTTTCCCTTCTTTCTAACTTTTTTGTTTTTATATTTTTAATTTTTTTTGATTTTGTTTTTTTAATTTTAATTTTTTTCCTTTTCTTTTCTCCCATTTTTTTATTTTTAATTAATTTTTTTGATTCTTAACATTAATTTTTGTTTATTTATTTTTTTCCTTTCCTTTTTCTTATATTTTATTTTTTAATTTAATTTTTATTTTTTTATTATTATTTTTTATTTAATTTACTTTTTTTTTTAAGAGCAAATCTTTCATTTTTACAAATAAGAGTAAGTATAAATTTTTTTATAATAAATATTTATAAATTAATTTAAAATTAACTTAAAATTTGATTTGAACTTGACTTAACTTGAATAAATTCAAGTCAAAATTGAGTTGAGTTAAAATCAAATTAAGTTAAATTTAGTCGAGTTTAAAATTTATATAACTCGAATCAAGTCAAGTTAAAAAGATTTTATAAAATAAATTTGACTCAACTCAATCGAAAAAAATGAGTCAAATAGTATTGAACTTTAAGCTTGACTCAACTCAACTCATTCTGCTTTTAATGCAAATTTAAAGATTAAAATAGATTAATAATTATTATAAAAAAAACTTAATTGCATTACTATTTTCATATATAATGAAGGTAATTTGCTAAGGTCTTTTAATAATCATTAAAAAACAGATGGTTATACTAAATTTAAAAAAAGAAATTTCTGACTATATCAGATTTATAAAAAAAGGAATATCTAATACTTTGATTATGTGATCTTTTTCAGTATTAATCTTTTATTGTTTAGTATTAGAATCTGCAATTAAAAAGATCAGATTATGCTGCATTTCTTATATCTTTATAACAGTATATGTTAAATTTCTAGAGTATCAAAATAAATGATGAATTTTCTATTTTTAAAAAGGTGTTCAATTCTTGAAATCCAGTAAAGTGAATAAAAAGTATGTTAATGAAATTACGTTTTTTACAACAAAAATTTTCTTTTATATCAACTGCATTATTAGTTGTATAATATTATGTAAGTTTAGTGATAATATTAAAATATAAATCTTTTATATTTGTATTATTTAAAGAAAAAGCTTTGGCTTCATTTACTTCTTCAAGCCAATTTGTTTATTTTTTCCTTTAGAAATAAAAGTTATTTTTACTTGTTTTAATTTGTTAATATTATTTTATTTTTGTTAATATGCATGTATGAAGTTCTTTGCAGTTTGGAAAGAAGTTTGCTAAGTAGTTTTAGCTGAGTTAAAAGTTAAAAAAATAATATTATCAATATCTATTTTAATAGTTTTAGCTATATTATTACTAGAAATATTAGAAAGTGTTTCATTATTAATAGTACTTTTAGTTAAAATAATATTTTCTATAACTTAAGTGACATTATTAGTGAAAGAAGTATCCATATTTTCTGATAAAGTTTTTTATTTTTATTATTTTATTTATTGATTTCTAAAAAAGTTTATTTATTAGACTCTGAAATAGAGTTTATAAACTGTCTATTATTTTTTGTGATGTTTATTTATTTTTATTATAAGATTGAGAAATATTTTGAATATAATATTTTGTTCTATTTTCTAATATAATGGGGTAAGGTAAGATTTTATATTAATTATTATTCAGATTTAATTACTATTTTTTAAAGACATGGTAATATTTTTATATATTTATTAATTATAATAATAATCAATAAAAAATTATATGAAAATCCTTTAAAGAGATATAAATATAAAAAAATAAAAAAGCTGCCTAATAAGAAAAAAAGTTTTAAAACTCTATTTTATCAGACTAACCAGTTATCCCATTAGACTTCAATAATAATCACTAATAGAATTACTATTCTCACCTAACTTTATACAAATTAAATGTATGATAACTAGTTATTACTGCATTAGTAAAGAAAAATGAGAATAGTCCTGTATGTAAGAATTTTTATTTATATATTTATGTTAGACTAATGTAGAATTAATTATTTATATTAGAAAATTAAAGCTGAAAAACATTTTTTGCAGTTTGTTGAAACAATCTGAAAGGATCTCTTTTTTTAAAGGATCAACTGAGTTATTTGAATTATCATCTGTATCTATTATAATGGTGTCTGATAAAAAAGGATTGTTAGTATTAAGTTTAGATTATTAGCATAATAATTCATTGATAATAGTTTGATCAGATGAAATTAATTTATCATTATCATCATCTGAGATATTTGTAAAGATTTCAAGTCTTGTAAGACAATAGTCAATATTTTCTTGATTTCTTCATTGAGTCAGAACTTTCTCCTTAATATCATTAAACATATCAGAAAGAAATTTAAATTTATTTTCTAGATCTTTAATTTTCTGATTAATGTGAGAATTACTTCTGTATGATCTAAAGATGATATTAGTTAATTACATATTTTATTTGATAATTGCTTATTATTAATAAGTGATTTTGATTTAATAGTATTTGCATATAAAAAGTTTTCTTAAATGCTAATGAATATATAAGAATGTAAAGATCTATATTATTTATAATTAAAGTGATCATAAAGAGATTTATAAGAATTAGATATGCTTTTATTAGAGTAATCTTTAATTTTATGATCAGGTGATTCGCATTTTTTATAATATTTATTAGTTAGATTTATCTAATATAGTATATTATTCTTGAATTTATATTATTGAGCGATAGCTTTATCTATTTTTTTTAAGGATGTAAAATTAATAAATGTATATAATTTTAAATGATATTATGTATCACGAGAGATAAAGCAAAATTTAGCTCTGATGTTAATTAAAAGGTTATGTAAAAATCTTTAATCTGTATTAAGAGATAAGTCAGTAAGTTTAAGTTCAAATTATTGATAAAGAGTAGTTTGTATAAGGTTTAAGTCAGTTAGTTTAACTCTTAATGCAAATTCAAAAAAATAGATTAACAACCATTATAAAAGATTTTAATTGTATTACTATATTCATATATGATGAAAACAATTTACTAGGATTCTCTAATAATTATTAAAAAATGGGTGATCATACCAAATTTAAAAAAAGAAGTTTCTGGCTATATAAGATTTGAAAAAAAAAGGAATATCTGATACTTTAATTGTATGATCTTTTTTAGCATCAATTTTCAGTTATTTAGCATAGGATCTGCAATTAAGAAGATCAGATTATGCTGTGTTTCTTATACCTTATGACAGCATATTTTAAATTTTTTAGAGTGTTGAAATAAATAATAAATTTTTTATTTTTAAAAAGGTAATTTAATTCTTAAAATCCAGTAAAGTGAATAAAAAGTGTATTGATGAAATTACATTTTTTTGCAATAGACTTTCTTTTTATATTAGCTGTATTATTAATTATATAAAATTGTATAAGTATAGTAATAATATTAAAATATTGATCTTTTGATTTGTGTTATTTGGAGAAGAAACTTCAGCTTCATCTACTTTATCAGACCAAGTTTACTTATTTTTTCCTTTAGAAGTAAAAGTAATTTTGCTTGTTTTGATTCATTGATATTATTTTGTTTTTATTGATATGCATGTATAGAGTCATTTTTAATAAAAGAGGAAGTTTGTTGTATTATTTGTTATGTTATTTTTCCTGAGTTAGAAGTTAAGGAAATAGTATTATTGATATTCATTTCTATAGTTTAAGTTATATCTTTACTAATAGTATTAGAAGGTGCTTTATTATCGTATTTTTAATAAGAATAATCTTTTTATAATTTTAAAACATTATTTAAAATAAAAGTTTCCATGTTTTTTAAAAAAACTTTTTGTTTTTTGTTGTTATTTTTATTAGTATTTAATAAAGTTTATTTGCTAGACTTAATACTTATCTGATGTAATTAGTCAGAGACTTTAAACACTTATTACAATGAACAAAAGGTCAATAATTTTAAAAATAAAAGATCGTACTATGATATTCACTATACCAAAAAATGTAACTTATAATTTTTATTTTTATAAATATGATGATAATTAATTTTAAAATAAAATCAAATTATCACTGTAGTATATGTTTGTTTTTATTTTAAGATTGTGAGATATTTTAAATATAATTTTTTACTCTAGTTTCTGGTATGATAGGATTAAATAAGAGCTTATATCAATAGTTTTATCTAGATTTAATCATTCAATCCAGAAATATTTGAAAAAAAATGTAAGCAATTATTTTGAGATTATCATGAAAGAATTTTAAGCAGGTGTAAATACTAGAACTAAAGCAAAAGGAACTGTCTAAAAAATAATAATACTGAATACTAATTTTAGTATTTAGAAATCTAATAAAAGTAAAAAAATTATATATTAATATATAATAAAATAGTATTACCCATTAATATTTAAAATCAATCATTTAAATTACAAATTCATGAAATTCTTAAAATACTTGAA